GTGCCATCAAATCTGTCAGGTCGAAGCAATTCGCGACGACAAAAGTCGTTGTCACGCTCGACACCCATACGCGATTGATGAACCTGAGACTTCACACCAGTTGAATGAAGCGGTTCCCGACTGTCACACGTCGACTCGTATTCAACTGTGTCTCTCTCTCGCTCGGTCGCTCTGCACCTGTTGCTGTTACCTAAAATTTTATTTCGCCGTCGATCGTGTTCGGTTTTTCTAATGATTGACGCTGATCTACTGGACGCTAATCGCAGCTCATTCAGTCCGAACTCCTGCAACTTTGGATCACCCTGGCACCTATAACCTGAAATATCCTGTGTGGGGATAAACCTGTAACCTAAATTGTTCGATGAAAAATTAATACGCGGCTTTTCTACGTACCTGTCAACAATTTTGAAACGATTGTTGTTTAAAACAATTTCATTTTGTTGGCTGGCGGGCGTTGAAAGTCTGCTCGAGGTTGATTTTCGATCCTCCTTCGGCTCCTGTGACCTAAAACCTAAAAAAGTTCCATGTTGTCGAACATGGCACCTGTCACCCAAAAAATTTGGAGAATCACCTTGGCTCCTGCTGCACCTAAAACCTGTAATGTTTGAAAAAGAAGCCCCACGTTAGGCGCCAATTGTAGATTTTCGCCGGGCGACATCCGAATTCCGCACCACGCGGTCCCGAACCGCGTCCGCATACGAATATCCACCCGAGCCTTTGCTTCGGCGGAGTCTTTCGTAGCCGGGATCCGCCACTCTACAATAGACCCTCTCAGGGTCTGAAAACACGGGCCGGGCGGAAGTTTGTTCGCGCCCTGCTTGCAATCACAATCGTCACAATTTCACAAAATATACAGGCGGCATATTTCAATCGCGCAATCATTATCATCACAATCGTCACAATTTCACAAAATATACAGGCGGCATATTTCAATCATGCAATCATTATCATCGCAATTGTCACAACTTCACAAAACTAATTTATAAATTATATCAAAAGTAAAAATATGCCAGTGTTCCCAGTAATTTCCGCTTTAATTTGAATTCAAATTTAATAGCAAAATTTAAAAAAAAACTCCGAATTTTAGCAAAACTGTTTACGAATAGATATATAGACAGTGAACAATATATATATATATATATATATATATATATATATATATACAATTTTCATTAAATTCTATCGCAATAGTATTATTTATTAATTTAAATTTCTTTTTTTCTAATAATATATTGTAATTTATTATTTAGTTTATTAATTAAATTAACGAAATGTTCTATAACATTCAATTTATTGCTAGCAGTTTTAAAATAACATATTAAATTTTAGATAAAGTAATGAAATATATTAAATAAAAACTAATAAAATTAAAACAGTTTAATCACAACAAAAGTTTTTTCGGCAAAATTGCCATCATCAGTGTTATACTGTTATAATTTGAAATACAGTTAAAAGTATTGTGACTATAGCAACCAAAAGTTAAAAGTTAAATTAAGTGTTAACAGATAAAATTTAGAAGTATTATTTATGTTTTATATAAATTAAAATATTTAAAATATTTAAATATTTATTTATATAAATTAAAACAGATTTTAATTTTAAGCCTATATATTAGAACATAGGTGGGAAAATTTTTTGTTGTGAGGGCCGCATTGAGAACTATTTTACATTTTCAGGAACGGTACTCGCCTGGTTTGAATCATATCTAACGGGTAGAACTCAGCAGGTCTTGTTTAGAAAGTCTTATCCTCTGTCAATGGGGTAACAACCGGTGTTCCTCAGGGATTAGTGCTAGGACCAGTTTTGTTTTTACTCTTTACATCGGATATAATTAAAATAATAATGTCGCATGGACTTGTTGGTCATGCGTATGCAGATGATAACAGATAGTTGCTACAGGTCATCCAGAGACATTTCAGTCCGAGATTGATAAACTTGTTGGTTGTTTGATGGAGATTGAACGTTGGTTGTTGAGCAATTTCTTGAGGTTGAACCGAGGTAAAACTCAGATGCTTCCTGTCAGTACATGGCAGCAGTTATCAAGACTTAATATAAACTCGGTTGAAATTGGTGACGTTGAAGTATCATTTGCTTCTAAAGCCTTGAATTTGGGAGCATGGTTGGATAGCAGGCTCTCAATGAAAGATCAAATAAAGTCGCTATCAATTGCAAGTATGATGCATCTCAGAAAATTGTACAAGATTCGACACTATTTGAACAGATCTGGCTTGGAAGCACTGGTACATGCTTTTATTACATCCAGATTAGATTATTGTAACAGTTTATACTTTAAAATATTTGACAAGTCAATAGCTGTACTTAAGTCTATTCAAAATCGAGCTGCAAAACTTGTCACAAAAATCTGAAGTTCGATCACTTGACTCCAATATTGAATGACCTGCACTGGCTAAAAATTGAAAAAAGAATAATTTTCTAAATTGCTGTCTTATTGTTTCGGTCATTACATGGTTTAGCACCACAGTATTTGGCAGACATGTTCATCAGAAAAACATCTGGGTTGGGTTCGCAGTTGAGATCATGTAACATGAACCTCCTGGTTGTGCTGGCAACGAATTTACAGACCGGATCACGCAATATTGCTGTTGCTGGACCAGTGGTTTAGAACAGTCTACCGGCGTTTCTAAGAAGACCAGATCTATCTTTGTTTTTGTTTAAAAAGGAGCCGAAGACTCATTTATTTTCGCAGAATTAACTATGTCTTTTCGTCTTCGTTCGATTAATGTTTTGTTTGTTCATTTATTTTAGGAAGCACTTTTTTTGTAATTAGCGCTGTACAAATTGACTTGTAATAATATATATATATATATATATATATATATATATATATATATATAGATATATATATATGTGTTTCAATGATCCGTCGGCAAATGTTGTTTCAACTAAAAATAGCAATGAATAAAAACTTCATAGAAGAGAATCTCGAAGAATCAAAATATTACACTGTAAAAGAATTATCTAACATAATAAAATTGAAGAATAAAATGAAAAACAATCACCTACCAATCATTCATCTGAATGCTCGAAGTTTGTTTCATAAATTATTAAATCTAGAAATCTTCTTAAAACAATTCGACGACTTTTTCAAAATTATAGTAATATCAGAAACGTGGTTGAACAATGAAACAGTTGATTTAATTAAGTTAAATAATTACAATTTTGTATATAAAAATAGAAAAAGCAAACGAGGCGGAGGTGTTGGTGTGTTCATAAAGCATGACATCAAATATGTTGTAAATGATAACAGTGCATTTGATGATGAAAATGTCGACGTTCTCTGTGTGGACATTGAATCGGGGCATGCTTCATCTAGGGGTGTGCTAAAAGTTATCGCTATATACCGCCCACCCAATTATAAATTTGAGCCTTTTTTAAATAAAATCAATTTGATTTTACACGCCATCAAATCCGCCGACAAAACTGTTATAGTGGGCGACTTTAATGTTAATTTATTGGACAATGATTCAAATGATTCTAAAGACTTCCAAAATTTACTATTTTCATTTTGTTTCTCGCCTTTAATTAATTTACCAACAAGAGTAACTTGTAACGCCTATTCATTAATCGACAACATATTTACGAACCTGTATCAACATTGCGAAAGTGGAGTCATAGTCTCAGACTTTTCTGACCATTTTCCAGTTTATGCAATAGTAGAAAATTTTAAAACTGCTATCAATGATGACCAAATTTTATGTAGAAAAATTAATAAAACATCCATTTTCTTTATTAAAAAAGCCCTCTCACTTCAAAATTGGCATTCAGTTAAAAACGAGAAAAATATAGATACAGCATGCCTGAATTTCTACAATATACTCAATAAAACTCTTGACACATACGCACCTCTGCAGTGGCAGAAACAAAAATATAAAAAAGCATGGGTATCTGATGAAATAATAAAATTATCAAAAAAACAGAATCGACTGTATAAAATAGCAGTCGCTGCACCAAACTCCGCTAATATTGAAAAATATAAAAAGTTTAGAAATTACTTTACATCAGTAAAGAGAAAGGCAGAAAAAAATTATTTTCAACAAAAATTTGAAGAGGCAAAGAGTTGCTCCAAACAAAAATGGGAAATAATAAACGGTATAATGAATAGAAAACAAAACAATCTTGAAATTAATAAGCTAAAAGTTGACGACAAAATCATCGAAGACCCAGAGGAAATAAGTATTCTTTTCAATGAAAACTTCATCAATGTCACAGAGAAGCTGTTAGAAAATCAAATAGTTACTGAAGATAAATTAAAAATAAATAGTGCAATCTGTAAATCAATGTATATGAACTCCACCAATGAAGAAGAAGTAACGTACATTGTTCAAAACTTAAGCAACAAAAAAAGCACGTCAGATGATACTTTAAGTAACAATCTACTTAAAAAAATCATCCCAATCACTCATATTTACAATCTTTCCATCGTCCAAGGAATATTTCCACAATGCTTCAAAACATCCAGAGTAGTTTCAATTCACAAAAAGGGGAGCAAATTAGAGACAAGTAATTATCGACCAATATCTCTACTTTCTCCACTTTCCAAAGTACTAGAAAAAATAATTTTTGTCAGAGTCACCTCATTTCTGTCCATAAATAAATTATTAAATGATAATCAATATGGTTACAGAGCACAGCATTCAACTGAGCAAGCTGTGCTGCAATTAGCACAAAATGTTATGAATAATCTTAACGAAAAGATACTGACTGTAGGTATATTCATAGACCTCTCAAAGGCCTTTGACGTCATCAACCACGATATACTGATTAAAAAATTAAATTCACATGGAATAAGAGGAAAAGTAAGTGCATGGTTCAAAAGTTATTTAGAGAACAGAGACCAGAAATATCAAAAATAAATTAATAGTAAATTATTCTAAATGTAATTACATTATTTTTGGTCCGAAAATTTTAACAAATATTATACCTAACCTAGACATAAAAATGAACAATATTTCTATTCCTCGCTCAACCAGCACAAAATTCCTTGGAGTAACAATCAAGGACAATCTTTCTTGGGATATTCACATAGATACTATGTCTAAAAGAATATGCAAAACCCTAGGAGTTATAAGCAAAATTAAAAATAAATTAAATAAACCTACTCTAATTGACCTGCATTATTCGTTAATCTTTCCTCACCTCATCTACTGCAACGTAATT